TGTGGTGTACTCACGCCTCTTCTGCGCATGTTTTCATGTGCAGATCCAGGTACCTCTACTCAGACGTACTATCAGTGAGACAGGAGGACAACGAAGACTTCGAGGTAGATCTGTTGCGTCTGCAGACTGACGAGTCTCCCTCTTTATTCTATCTTTAGTACTTAGTTATCTTTCCTTCCGTTTGTTAGATATTCTGGAGTTTGGAGCCTCACTATACATTTCTGTAGCCTGTGTTTTCTTGTAAGTTTCCGGGTTTTGGGATTGTTTTAGTCTTGAGATATTGAGTCGTATATGTCGAGCGGCATTCAGTACAATTTCCTTTTTAGATAATTAAATATGGTATTCTATTTTTCCGCAATTATTATGTTTCCGCAAGTGTTAGGCTTACCTGGTCACGGAGACTAGGTGTCGTCATGACATGTTCACGGTTGGTGAACTAGGGTCGTGACAGATATGGCTATCAATTCTAATGCAGTCAAAAGATATCATGTATGATTTCTTTGGTTAAATTGTGTTTGTTTGTACTTGGCATGCTTTGCGGATTGGAATGACGAAGGCATTTTGTTCTGCTATCTAAACACTTTATCCTTTGTTACCCCTTTGAGCCTTATTTATTTCCTTTCATACCCCTCTTTTGGAATCAGTAGCAAAATTCAGTAAAGAAGTAAAGAAAAGAGAAGAGAAAAGAAAAGGAAAGAATAGAAAAAATGAAAAGAAAGAAAAGAGAGAAAAAAGGAAAAAGAAGAAAGGAGAAAGAAAAAATGGTAAAAAAGTAAAGAAAAGAAAAAAAAAGAAAAAGAAAAAAAGAGAGAAGAGTACAAAAACAAAGCAGTCTGTATGTCATGAACTACGTTCGACCTGATTCCTTTTAAGGATACGTAGGCAGCCTCACGGTTTGGTCACATAAAAATAAAATTCAAAAGTCCCCAAGCAAGGAAACTGGGGCAGAAGTTGTGGTTGTTGTAAGAGATCTGATTCAAAAAGTTGTAATTTTGAGCCCTTGTAAGCTATTTTTAAGCCTTTATCCTTTCTTTCTAACCCCATCCAAAAGCCCGCATTACAATCCAAAGAAAAACCTTTGGATCAATCTTTGAGTAGTGACAAGTCAAGCGAGTTAGAGGTATGATTTACATCAGGGGAAACACTCTGTGCTGCACAAGAAAAACAAAATGAGAGAGTCTTATTGGTGAAAACCTTCACAGGCACCATAAGGCTACGGTAAGTTGAGAGAAAGAACAAAATGAGAGAGGCTTGATGGTGAAAACCCTTCGGGCACCACAAGTCGAATAAGGATCGTGAATCAGATTGGATAATCGGAGCATTAAAGCCTAGTTTCACATTTTAGAGGTATAGAAAGAGTTGAACATCAGAGTTGTTTGGCAGATTAGGCCACTTAATCCATGGGTGCATGTCATTGTTATTAGAGTTGGTATCCACATCTGATAGGTTTCTACTTTATAGTTTTCTTGTTAGGAATCATCTCTTTCCTTTGTCCTTTACTCTGTTCCTTTTGTCTTGTTTACTTCCTCTTCCTGAGTCTATTTGGTTAGAATAAGTGAGAAATGACTTCAAAATTTGCCACCAGCTTTCCAATTGCATAAAACGGGATCTGGCTAGCACATCAAAGTGGCATGAGTCAGGAAAAGAACAACAAGTGCACTGAGTTGGTAACGATCAACATGCTTTGGGATCTATGTGAAATACAAAGATTTGGTATATATCAGTTCATGAACAATGCAACAGATGGAGGGTGTTAGGTGAATAGATCGAAGGTATTTTCTGTGATAAAATTGACAAAGAAGGTTGTTAACCAGTGACAAGCAAGGTCTTCCAAGCAAAAATCAAGTTGTCATGGCGAGTGAAGGGACAATAGACCTCAAGGCCAAGGCCAGTGGTTTAAGTCGAGAAAGAACAACATACGCAGTGAGCAGGTGGCGATTGTCGATTCATGTGAGACACAAAGGTTTGGTAAATGGTAGTTCATGAGCAATGCATCAGATGGAGGGTATCAGATCTGAATGGAGACGAGGTATTTTCTATGATAAGGGTGACAGAGAAAGTGGTTAGTCAATAAACAAGCAAGGTCTTCAAGTGAAAATTAAAGTTATCATGGGAAATGAAGGAGCAGTCGCCTTCGAAGTTCAAGGCCAAAAACCAACCACCATGTTTAAATTCACAAAGTTTTCTTTGCTTGAAACAGGGGAAGAAAATTTCGATTGTTTCGGAGCGACCCTCCTTAAGGAAAGGCAGGCACCAAACAGGTTTGACATTAAATTTTCAGGACCCTCCTGGAAAGTGGGACCTAGTTTAAAATTCAAAACAATCATGAGTAGCAAGATCTAGCATAAATATACCCCAAAGGAATATAAATTGGTTTCAAAGTTTTCATTCTTGAGATAGGATTCAATTAGGAGTTGTTAGGACCCTCCTGAATAATGGGACTTAGCTTTATGATTTCCATTAGATAACAAGATTTACCATAAGTTCTGTTGTATGGTAGCATAATTCAGCCGTAAAATTGTCACTCTTAAGATAAAACTTGATTTTTGATTTTCAGGACCCTCCTAGATAATAGGATGTAGTTTAAAAACTTGCTTGGATAACAAGACTTAGCATAAGGCATACCTTCAGAAGATATAATTTAGCTTAAAATTGTCATTTAACTAATAATTTTCATGATCCTCCTGGATAAAGGGATTTAGCTTTCGAATTCATAGAGATATTTGGTAACATGATTCAATTAACACTCACAGATGCGCCCAGCACAAAACTGGGGCAGGAAAATTTCTTTTGTTTTGTTCATTTTGTTGTAATCAGGTTCAAAGGCAGCAGTTTTAGGGAATATAGCTCAAGTTTTGGCAATCAGGCGCCCACATGAAAAGCAAGGGAATACAGGTCAAGTTTTGGTAATCAGGCGCCCACCTGGAGAGCACGGGAATACAGTTAAAGTTTTGGCAATCAGGCGCCCACCTGGAGAGCACGGGAATACAGTTTATGTTTTGGTAATCAAGCGCCCACCTGGAGAGCATGGGAATACAGTTCAAGTTTTGGCAATTAAGCGCCCACCTGGAGAGCACGGGAATACATTTCAAGTTTTGGCAATCATACACCCACCTGGAGAGCACGGGAATACAATTCAAATTTTGGCAATCAGGCGCCCACCTGGAGAGCACGGGAATACAGTTCAAGTTTTTGCAATCAGGAACCCACCTAGAGAGCACGGGAATACAGTTCAAGTTTTGGCAATCAGGCGCCCATCTGGAGAGCACGGGAATACAGTTAAAGTTTTAGTAATCGAGCGCCCACCTAGAGAGCACGGGAATACAGTTCAAATTTTGGCAATCAGGCGCCCACCTAGAGAATACGGGAATACAGTTTAGGTTTTGGCAATCAGCCGCCCACATGGAGAGCACGGGAATACAGTTCAAGTTTTGGCAATCACGCGCCCACTTGGAGAGCACGGGAATACAGTTAAAGTTTTGGAAATCAGGCGCCCACCTGGAGAGCACGGGAACACAGTTCAAGTTCAGCAATCAGGCGTCCACCTGGAGAAAAGAAAGAAATCTCAGATTATAATTCGAGTTTAGCAATCAGGCGCCCATCTGAAGAAAAGGGAAAGCATTTGGATCACAATTCAAGTCGGCAAAAAGGGAAATTCACCCGGGGAATACAAGTCAAAAGGCAACGGGAATCACAAGATCAAGTTTTAAGATACAGATAGGATTTTTGTAATGCATAGATCATAGTTTAGTCTAGCTTCTTTTGTTTTTTCATGGTGTAATAAGGAGTTCAGTAAGCAGTAGCAGCAGCAGCAATAGTGAAATCACAGCTTCATGGTAGTCCCAGCTACCGGAACTTCCCGAAATACACTGACCTGATTCCTTTATAACCAAGGATATGTAAACAACCTCGGAAGCAGAGTGCGGTCAAATCTTTCAAAAAATTCTTCCCACGGAGTATTCAAACGGGCAAAAATTGATCGTACCCGCTCACTTTATCTTTGCACGAAAACCCTTCGGGTTTCCGAGCAAAGAGGGGCAACTGTGAGCACGTGATTTTTGCCCTACATGAAAATAACTCCTAAAATAGACCAAAAATAATTTTTATTGATTTTAGGAATTTTTCTTTATTTATTTGCATTTCATGCATTTTTAATATTTTTAAATCATAGAAAAAATCCTAAAAATTGTCATTTTTACATATTTAATTTTTAGTCTTTTAAGTTAGCATTTTTCTTTAGTTTTAAGTTAATTAGTTGTTTTAATGTTAAAAATAAATAAAGATTTTTAATTTCTACTAAAATCGATTAATTAATTAAAGAAAAGAAAAAGGAGAAAAGGAAATTAGGAAGAATGTATTTTTGGTCTTGTTTCTTTTAAAATTGGGCTAGAATTCAAATTGACCCAATTCCCACAAGCCAAGCCAAATACCATATCCAATACCCTCTTGACCCAAACTCTTTTTTATATAAAAGGCAAGACCTAGACCTAAGGGCATCATATTTTTCCATACACTTGACACCCCTTCCCTTCTAGACAACGAAAAAAGCAAAAACGACGCACCTTCCCTTTCGTTCTCCTTCTTCTTCATTTCTAAAAACCACAGATAAAGAGAATAAAATCCCCCCCCCCTTCCAAAAAAACCTTAGCCACCCATCTCTAACATCAAACAAAAAATCAGAAAAAGAAATCAGAAGCACACACAAAATTGTTGAAACAAGAGAAATGAGAAAACTGGAATTCTCAATGGGATTTGAAGGGGACTTATTTCGAAATTTTCCTTTCTTTCTGGGTTTCTAAAGGTTGAGCCATGTTTTTAGCCAATTTTCGACTGCTAGGTATGTATTTCTGTTCGTATGCCCAGATCTGATTTGTTATGAGATTATGACCGTATGTATTGGCTTCTGACACTGCATTTTTGAATAAGAAAGTCATATGGCAATGGTGATTTTACTGAAAATTTGTCGGTAGATATCTTTATTTTTCATATTGTTTAATTAACTTAGAACATGTCGTCAGCTCTTTAGTTGGTATTAGCTTTTATAACTCTAGCTAGCTCTTATTTTTCTTAATTCAATTGTAAGATTTTATGTTTGTTTTTTAATATTTTTTATTATTATTAAAATTGGCCATAAGATACATTGCTCGGTGGTAATTTGTGACAAAAAAAATTTTCTATCAAATTGCTAGTAAGTAGTTCTGACCTTGCTTTTCTTTACTAACTTGGCAATGGCATCAAAATCTGTCTCTGCTAGAGGTGTAGTTAAATGAGGCAAAAATAATAATAAAACATAAAAGAAGCACATTTTTCTCATTTACCTCTCCAATTGTGTAGTATAAACGTATATATTATAAAAAAATGAAATCATGTATAGGAGAGTCTTTTTCAATTCTGACATATATATATGTAAGCCTCTCAAACGTGTCTATACTTATGACTACATGCTTCTGTTCTCTATAAAATTTATGTGAATGAAGTACCTTTTTTTTTTACAATTTATTTCATTTAGTTGTTGAGCTCCCTTACTGGTGTAGCTAGCGAATTGTTTATTCATGTGATTATGTCGTTTTATCTCAAATAGTAGCTTGAAGATGTGTAGTTGCTTTAGGCGCGCTATTATAAAAATTACATTCCTAAACTCGGGTGTGCATTTATGTGTCCCAAATCCAAATTTTAACAACATCAGATAAAATGTGTCATGGACCGCGGGTGCATTAATGTGACATGGTTCAAGACGTGTTTTAGATGATGTTAAATCTTTCCTAAAAATAATTAAACAATAGCGGTTATAAAGTTAATATTGTACCATGGGTTAAAACATGTATTAGAATCAGATAATAGGCCAATTATAATAGTTGAGCAACCGTGCTAGAACCACGGAATCCGGGAATGCCTAACACCTTCTCCCAAGTTAACAGAATTCCTTACCCGAATTTCTGTGTTCGCAGACTGTAAAACAGAGTCAACCTTTTCCTCGATTCGGGATTTGAAACCGGTGACTTGGGACACCATAAAATTATCCCAAGTGGTGACTCTGAATTTTTAATAAAATAACCCCATTTTGATTGTCACTTTAAGTTGGAAAAAACTCCCTTGTATCCCCTCCTTCCGGGGTGTAGGTAAAAATGAGGTGTGACATCTAGTACGGGAAGTAGTCTTCGGAACATCTGAGTCCCGAATCTTCAACTGGTGGTACCCCGATCTCAAGTCGATCTTAGAAAACACCCTACCACCTTGTAACTGCTAAAACAAATCATCGATACGTGGCAACGGGTACTTATTCTTGATGGTGACTTTGTTCAACCGGCGGTAATCAATGCACATCCGCATAGTCCCATCCTTCTTCACAAGTAACTCTGGTGCACCCCAAGGTGATACACTGGGGCTCACAAACCCCTTAGCAAACAACTCCTCAAGTTGCTCCTTCAACTCCTTCAACTCTTTGGGATCCATACGGTATAGTGGGATAGATATAGGTTGGGTACCTAGAGCCAAATCAATGTCACGATCAGGTGGCATGCCTGGAAGGTCAGAAGGAAACACATCAGTGAACTTTCGAACTATTGGCACTGAATCAATTATCAGAGACTCTAAGGTGGTGTCCCAAACATATGCTAGATATGCCAAACACCCTTTCTCGACTAGATGTCGAGCCTTTAGAAAAGAGATAACCTGACTAGATGCACTAACGAAGGAACCTTTCTACTCCAATCTCAGCAACTCTGGCATCGCTAAAGTAACAGTCTTGGCATGACAATCAAGAATGACGTAATATGGAGATAACCAATCCATGCCCAAGATGACTTCAAAGTCGTTCATATCAAGTAACAGAAGGTCTTCTCTAGTCTCATATCCATAGAATGTAACCACACAGGACTGGTAGATCCGATCCACAACCAGATAATCGCCAGTAGGAGTGGATACATAAATAGGAGTACCCAAAGACTCACGAGAGATATCCATGAAATGAGCATACAAAGATGACATATGAATATGTAGACCCTGGATCAAATAATATCGAAGCATCCCTATCGTATAAAAAAATACCTGTGATCACGGCATCTGAGGCCACTGCATCTAGTCTGGCCGGAAAAGCATAGAATCTAACTAGAGCACCGGTTGGCTGGCCCCCGCTAGGCTGAACCATAGCTGGTTGAACTCCTCATGCCTGGCCTCCACCTCTAGGACAGCACACACCTGCCTGGCCTCCACCTCTAGGACAGCACACACCTGCATGTCCTCCAATTCTGGGCGGCTGGACTGCTGGTGTTGTAATCATAGGCTGGTAACCCTACTGTACCGCCTTGCCCCAAAGTCTGGGCAAAATCTATTTATGTGACCCAGATCCCCACACTCGTAACAACCCCATGGAACAATACATTGTTGTCTTGAAGCCAGACCCTGATAGCCCGAATACCCACTAGAAGAACCCTGAATAGCTAGTGGGCGATATGAACTCTCTGGCATAGCACTGGAGTGGGAACTAGAAGAACCCTGATTACCAGAATACCCACCAGAGGAACCCTGAAAAGCTGGCGGGCGGTAAGAACTCTCCGGCTTCGCAATGAAATAAGGCCTCACTAGAGTATCTCGAGGAGATGGTGGAAGTGCTGAATATGGGGGTCTCCTAGGCTGGCCTCTCCCAAAATGACATCTGTCTGTAGCTGGGGCACCTCCAAACTCTCCAGAGAATCGAGTCGTCTTGTCCTGCTGCAACTACTCTCTACCCCTCTAGCGGTAACCCTCAATCCTCCGAGCAAACTCTACCACTAGCTGATACTAGGTCCCCATCTCAACCTCTCGGGTCAAGCTAGCTCAAATGCTGGGGTGTAACCCCGCAACAAATCTCTGCACTCTTTCTACATCTGTAGGAAATATCATGAGTGCATGGCAAGACAACTCAAAGAATCTCGCCTCATAGTTGGTCACAGACATCTGATCCTTCTCGAACTGCTCAAACTGACACCGTAACTCTTCCCTCTGAGAGGGTGGAATATAATTTTCCAATAGAAGATGTGTAAACCGATCCCAAGTCATGGGAGGAGAACTTGCTGGTTTGCCAAGAAGGTAAGATTGTCACCACCTACGGGCCCTTCCCTCTAACTGTAAGGTGGTGAAATCTACCCCATGGGACTCCAATATCCTCATGTTGTGCAGTCTATCCCTACACCTATCAATGAAATCTCGGGCATCATCATGACGCTCACTTCCAAAGATAGGAGGGTCTAACAATTTCTGCGAATCATCATCCGCAGCTGGTCTGGGCTCAGGTGCCACTGCTGGAACTGGTCGGGCACTGCCCATGGGTAGTGTACCCGAAGTCTGGTATATGGTAGTTGCGTGCCCAGGAGCCTGAGCAGTAGGGTTCTGTCCTACCCCTCCTGCCTGATATGTGGTTGAGTCTACTGGAAATAAACCAGCCTGAGTCATAGAGTCCATGAACCGCAGCATACGGCCCATGACTTCCTGGAAACCCGGCGATGTCATAAAGTCCACTAGGGCAGGCTCTGCTGTAGGCACCTTGCCTTGCTCTTCAATAATGGGATCCCCTACTGGATCTGCCAGCAGTGCAACTGGGGCATCTCTGGGATTCCCTCGTCCCTTGCCTCGGGCCGATGCCCTCCCCCGACCTCTTCTTCGGCCTCTAGCAATAGGGGAGTAGCTCCTCCCGGGTCTGGAACGTCCGCCATACGCGTCCTAACCATCTGTGAGAGAATAGAAAAAGAAAATTTAGTGCCATCGACTACACGATAGAATACTAATAAAGAGTAGTTTCCTAACACCATATAGCCTCTCAAAGATAAGTACAGACGTCTCCGTACCGATCCGCAATACTCTACCAGGTTTGCCCATAACCTGTGACACCTATGTGAACCTAGTGCTCTGAAACCATATTATCATGACCCAAATTCCACATTAGGCCGTGATAGCTCCAAACTCTATTGTTAGGCAAGACAACACTAATCAACTGTAAATCCTCATTTAAATAATTAGTACGTGAAAACTTTTCATTATTGATAAAGAAATTATGAGCTGAAACTTAAGCATAATTAGATAAAAGTAATAATTACAAAATTAATCATGATAGTAATCCAAAAATCATAAGTCTACCAATGTGTGTGCCAAGACCTAGTGTCACAAGTATGTGGACAATCTAGTAGAATATACAAAACCCTACTATCCTACTATCTGGAAAGGAAATAGACAAGAAAAGTAAAGACATAGAAAGAATCTAGCTGATGCAGAACGGCTCAAGTCGCAAGCTGAGGAGTCCACTCTACGCGCCAGACTGATGGCCAGATACACCTGCCTCAAAGCCTGTACAATCAAGTACAGAAGTGTAGTGTGAGTACATAAGAATATGTACCCAGTAAGTATCTCGCCTAACCTAGCAGAAGTAGTGATGAGGGGTCGGCCCCGAAACTTACTAGGGCCAACAAATATAATAATATGAAGTTCAATATTTTATTCACAATGTATGTAGATAACAACAAGCTCAAACTCCCGAATCAACCATCCCCGAAAGTCATAAATCAATTAAAGCAACTGCGGGAAGTCTTATTCAGGGGAACGGGGTTCTAGAAAGCAAAACGATCAGTCAGGTTGTTACACCAATTCCACCACATAATAAGAATCAATATAATAATCCTCCCTTATTTCACTATATCAATATCACATATAAAATCTATTGCGGCGTGTAACCCGATCCCACCATATTAATATCAATCCTTCCTTATTCCACCTGTTGCAGCGTGCAATCCGATATATAAACAATATTAATAAATATAATCAATTTAGCAACTCAATTCACAAGAATCTATACGATTAAAGAATGTAAAAGCAAAACCGTAAAGGAACCTTGTATCAAAATCAAGGAATACTACAATTAATACAAAGAAACAAGACAAGAAAAATATATGATAGTCAAAGTGTACAAGTAAGACAATTAAGGCAAGTAGCAATTAATCATGGAAGCATGCAACAAACGAACATTTCAATACGAGAGAAATAAGTGACAAGTAGCAAGTTAAGGCATAGGAAGCAACTAAAGCATGTAGTTGTTAAGACATGGAATAAATTAAATAATAAAATATGGGAAAGCATGAAATCAATTATTTTAATGGCGTATATACACTCGTCACCTTGCATATATGCTGCTACACATGTAATTCACATAAATCATAGTTCATGAGTTCCTACTTCCTTCAAATCAAGGTTAAACCCAACACTTACCTCACTCTGTAAGCAAATCAAAGATCAATTGGGGACCTTCCTCTAAAATTTGCCTCCGAACCAACCGAATATAACCAAAATTGACTTAATATCAACAAATAATGCGAGATAAATTATTTACAATATATAAAGCTAAGATCTTTACACTTTCTCCCAAATAGTCAACCCCAAACCGCTTGGTCAAAACCCAAGATTCAGACCAAAATTCAATTACGCATTCACCACCAAGCCCGATAATGCAATTAGTTTCGAAATCTTACCTCGATTTGAGGTCTAAATTGTAATTTTACAAAACTCTTAAATCCCTAATTTTCTATCATGAAAGAGCATAGATTAAGGTTAGAAATCAATGGGTGGTGATGGAAATTGAAGAAACGAGTTAAAGTATACTAACCTATGAAATATTGATGATATTTCTCTTCAAAATTGCCTATAGGCGGAGCTCTAATGAGAAGATGGTGAAACATTGGTGAAATACCGTATTTGGGACATTTTAAATCACTGGTGTGAGGTCATCATTGTGTTAGCGAAAGACCTAACTCGATTGCGACTGCGGCCCAAATGGCCGTCGGGTTTGCGAGATGTTCTTCATGTTCACGATGGCTCTTCCTCCCGGGTCATCGCGTTCTCAACTCAATAACCGCGCTCGCGTAGAATATTAGCCCAGCTCCCCCCAAAATCCCACAATGTTTCGCGTTCTAGGAGGAACAATCGCGTTCGCAAAGGGCAAGCCCCCCTCCACTTTGCGTTTGTGACCAATATCTCGCGTTCGTAAAGAGCAACTCTGCCTCAGTCCCAATTTTTTCCTTTGCGATCGCGGGAGTAGCTTCGCGATATCAAAGTACAAATTCTCAGGTACCATATATCAGCAAAACCAACATTCTTTTACGTTTGAAATGGTCCGTAGCCTATTCGAAACTTACTTCAGCCCCTCGGGCTCCAAACTAAACATACACACAAGTGTAATAATATCATACAAACTTGTTCACTCAATCAAAACACTAAAATAAGACCTAGAACTATATATCATACACTAAAATGAATGAAATTTTCGAAGAAACTTAAGAACTTTTAATTTTACAACCGGATGTACTAATTATATCAAATCAACTCCGTTTTGCACCAAATTTTGCAGACAAGTCATAAAAACTGAAATACTTATACCAAGTTCCGTAAATTAAATCCGAACCCGACAGCAAAAAAGTCAACCTACGGTCAAACTTAGCAATTCTTTAAACCTTTAAATATCTAGTTTTCAACAAATTATATTAAATCAAGTTAGGAACTTCCGAATTCGATTTTGGGTATACACTCAAGTCCCAAATTAGGATACGGACCCACCAGGACCGTTAAAATACTGATATGGGTTCGTTTACACAAAAGTTAACTCCAATGAGTTTTAAGGAAAACTTTCACATTTTTATCATTTTTTCACATAATTGTTTTTTGGAAAAATACAATGAATGCGTGCACAAATCGAGGAAGGCTAAAAGGAGTTATTCGAGGTCTCGGAACACAGAAATGAGGGATAAAAATATAAATGACATATTGATTCAATATTTTGTGATATTGTGGCACATGTGGACATGTTGGATGGTTTGATTGTTGTCGTGCAGAGTATAAGGGTGATATTTCACTGTTGTTGATTGTGTGAAGCGATACGGGTGGCTATTGTGATATTGTCTAGGCTGAACGATACGGGTGGCTATGGTGATATTGTCTAGGCTAAGCGATATGGTGTCTTTTGTGATATTATTTGGTCAGAGTGGTACTAGTGGCTATTATGATTATTTCGAGGCAGCGTGATACGAGTGACTATTGTTGTTGTGATAAAACTATAGGCACGGGGTGCTATTTGTGTGAGTTTCTATGTGATTACTTGTTGTTGAAACTGAGCCCTTTGCTTGTATTAAATTGTTATCACTTATTATGATGCGGTTATTGCTATTGATTTTCTACTCTTCTTTTGTTTCCAGTCTTTGATCAATTACACATGTTATTTTGAGTAGTGAGTATCACCTGACTTGAACCTCGTCAGTACTTCACCAATATTAGTTTTGATACTTAGTGAGTACCGATAGTGGTGTACTCATGCTACACTTCTGCATATTTTTATGTAGATCCAGGTGTTGGAGGTAGTGAACCCAGTCAGTGAGAGCTTCTTTGATCGCGTCGTCGCAGTCCCTTGGAGTCCTTTCTTTATAATTATACTGTCAGTTCACTACAGTATTGCATTTGAGATATTTCTATGTATTCAGTTAGAGCTCGTGACTGTATACTACCTAGTTCTGGGGATATGTTGTGATTATCGTCGTGCTGGCTTGTATCACCATTATTTCTACATTTATATTAAACTCTGCTTTATTATATCATATTTTTATTGGTTTAACTGTTATAACTGATCGGCTTACCTAGTTTTAGGGACTAGGTGTTATCACGACCCCTATGGCTGAATTCGGGTCATGACATTTAATTTGGTTTGATTTTGTATTGAGTAAGGAAATATCGAAACCCAACCGACATATAAATAAACTTTATATATAATTTTCTTTAAATAAAAAAGTATGTCTAGAAATATTTGTGTCTCTCATGAGATGTAATATTTAATACAATTATTATAGTGATTCATTTTATATACTTTAAATAATGCTTGATTTTAATGTGCATGGTCACTTTCTTATTAAATGTTGTTGAAATACTTCAATCTCTTCAATTTTTTTGTATTCATAAGACAAAATCTATTAAATTCGTATATCCTTCTCGATTTTGAGATAGAGTTTTATTATTGATCATTGTGTTTAATTGTAAAAGAATTAAGCTTGAAAGGATATATGAATGAATTGATTATTGTCATATTAAAAAATAATATCATTTGTTACGGGAAACAATTTCTACCACATGAATATATTTAGATTATATGTTTGTGAATTTGTTCAACTATTACTAAGCATAAATTTACGTATGGGAATTTAATCCATAACTATAGTAAAGAGAGATTCAATTTAATTATGTGATTAAAACGACCTGATATATTTGGCTGGTATTGGTTTGGTGAAAATCGAAGCGCTGTGACCATGTGATTATTGCCTCGCATGAATTACTCCTACATAATCTCCAAAATTAGGATTTTTCTTTGGTTTTTTGGAATTAATTGCCCAATTTATGTGTTTATTTACATTTTGTGTGCATATTTAATTTTATTTAAATCATGAAAAATAGCAAAAAATATCACGCACTGCATTTAGGATTTAGTTTTGCATTTTTAAATTAATTAGTAAATTAGTTTGTTTTACGAAAATGGAAAAACACAAAAATAGCTCGTTTTTGCATTTTAATTTTTAGCTTCCAATTTTGGTAGTTTTCTTTTAATTTGGTATTTAATTAGTTGTGGTAATTATTATTTAGAGTTAATTAATTTAATTTGGTAGGATAATTTGGTTTAGGGATTAATTTTATTTCTAATTTTTGAAAAGAAAAGATGTTTTTAAAATAAAAGGAAAATGGGAAAAGGAAAAGAACTGAAAAGAATCAGATTTTTGGGCCAAATCCATGAAATTCCTCAAAGCCCAATTAATTCAACCCCTCTACCCGACCGAACCAGCCCAGATCCGCGTCCCAACTCGGTCCAAACTCCACCAGTAACCAAAACGACGATGTTCCAATGGTCTTGATCAAGACCGTTGATTTCTTTCCATCGGGTGGTCCAGAACTAAGCCTCATTTTATATATAATTGTCCTAAGCTTACACCCATCAAACGCATCTCTCATCTCACCCCATCTCCTCAGAGACTCCGTCGAGCTCCGCCCTAAAACCATCGACCGGCGTCCAAACACCTTGAAATTAATACCAAGTACTCTCCTCCATCTCCGCATCCCAAATCCTCAAACGCTTCTCCTCAAATCCACCTAGAATTCGTCGAATTTTAGATCAAAACTCAAAACCCTAGCGCCGCCACGATATTCTCCGGTGGCGGTGCCACCTCTGTTCGACCCCAAATCAACACCCTGAGACCTCTTTCACTCCCTCATTCTAAATCCTAACTTAGTTTCCTTCAAACACCTCCGGAGCGGTTCGAATATCAAATCAAAGGTTTAAGCCCTGAAAGCCTAAAATTGAAACTACTTTTTCTGGTTTCACTTTAAATCTTTAACCATTTTTGGGTTTGAATTTTATTTGGACTTCAATGGACTGGATTTGATTGTTGATTGAATCAAAGACCAGAAAAAATGGGGTTCATTCTAATGGGTCAGCCCAGGGTCAACTTAACGCATAACCCATTTGAGACTTAAGAGTAAATTTCAGGGGTAACTAACGGTGATTTGGGTGAAGCACTAAGAGAATCTCTCAAGTAACTACCTGAGAAGCTTCCCAGAAGCTGCATAATATACCTACTTGACCAACAAGTCAGTAAATGAAGGACTAAGCAGCAAAAAGGAAAATTTGAAAAGGACTAAAATGAAAAAATTGAACTCTTAAGGTTGCCCTAGTATTTTGCCTATAAAGGCATAGTTACTTGGGGTTCAATTTAGATTTTAGAGATTGGAGGGATTGCCAAAAAGCTAAGAAAACTCAGAAAAAGAGAACGACTAAAAACTGAAGAAAAATCATTGTTCCATTGCAAGTCTTTTGTGATTTCTTAAGTTCCTACTTCCTAAAAGGGTCTTCTGGTTAATATAGCTCAAATGGATTGAAATTAGGTGTTTGGGTATCGGTTTTGAAGTTTGCTTTGTCATCTGCTCGAGTGAGGTTGCCTTTTATTGTTTTCAAACTCAATTTGGTTGAGCTGGTGTTGCTGGTGTTTGCTGGCTGCTGTTCTGTTGTTGATTTCCTTCCTTCCCTCTTATTTTCTTTCCCAGGTACCTTATTAGCTCATGACTGAGGAGTTATTTCGAGCAAGTAATAGAGTGGAATTTCTGTCAAATGAAGGTTGCATTCAAAGCTGATTTTCCCTTGTTCCTTTACTATTTTCCATGTCCTGTAATCAGTCTTTGAATTATAAGTGTCAATAAGGTTCTTTTTTCTTTGAAATGGTGTATGTGAAAGTAACTTGCAGTAGTGCGTTACATTTGCACATAACTATGGACTAAGATTGAGGTATTCAAATGGTTGAAATCGTCCTATTTCTTTTGATTCCATGGTCATAACTTAGAAGCATGTGGATGTAGATCATAAATCTATTTGTTCATAGCTTAGTTCCTAAATCCCTGAATCCTTGAAGTTATTTCTCCTGCTTATGTTACTCTTCCAACATTAGTGATGAATTTGTTGTCACATTTTCTACTTAAGTTTTCTTATTTCTTTCTGATTATATGTTGTGAAAGTTGAAACTATGCTCTTAAAAGTTTAGTACCATGTTGGATTTGGTGGTAGGAAATTTATGTAATAGATACATATTTGGTTTTGAAAATGGTCTGATATAAAAAAAAGGGGAACGATGGTCGAAGTTATTTTTTTTTTAGATTAAAGGTGTACTGATCTAATATGGGTCGTGAATAAGCTAGTTAAATTGACATTAGTGTTTAAGTTTCAGAATGTTTAGCTAGCTCAAAAGTAAAGTTAGTTCAATTACATGTTTTCACATAGTCTTCGTTACCTTGCACGTAAATGATTTTTGCACAAATGTTTGGCTTTAAAAAATGGGATCCAAGGCTGGCTCAACCGAAGAACATTCCGTTACGGGCTCAATTGCACGCCCATGTCGATGAAGTATTCGCTGCTTCGATTGGGATCATTTTGGACACAAGCCTGAAGGCATCGTGAATGGATTGTTTACCCTTTTGTTATCTGGTTTTGTTTGTTTCATCATATGCAGCTCTTTTATTTAGTTGCTTTAACGTGGAAGTAATTTCCTTTTAGACAATTGTTTGCTTTAATACCATGCCGGTTAGTTTTTTTATAGGTTTGAACAATTAATTAGAATCCCTTTAAGCTTTTTCCTTAATTAACTAGTTTTCTAAAATGGATCTGAGGTGAGCCATAGTAGATAGTAAATAGTTTATGGCCCTCCTCCGAACTTTAGTTTGAATATCCTTTCAAAATTGAATCGAGATGCGCCGCATCAAATAAAATCTCAAATGCATGTCCCTCATTTAATTAATCTTGAATCTTTAGAAATCGAGGCGTGCCATTTAGTTGAATTTCCATGGCCCTTGCGAAATTAACAACTCGTAGTTGCTTTAGGCGCGTATTTTAATAATATTACCTTCCTTAAACTCAGGTGTGCATTTCATGTGACCCAACTCTAAATCTCACAACGTTGAATAAGATGTGTTCCGAATTGCGGGTGCATTTCGTGTGGCGCGATCCGATGACATGCTTTATACGACGTTAAATCTTCTTTAAAAATAATTGAAAGCGGTTTAATAAGTTAATATGTACCAGAGGTTGATACATGTATAAAAATCAGAAAATAGGCCAATTATAATAGTTTAAGCGATCGTGCTAGAACCACGGAATCCGGGGGTGCCTAACACCTTCCCTCGGGTTAATAGAATTCCTTACTCAGAATTTCTGGTTCGCAGACTTCAAAAGGAAAGTCGAAATCTTCCTCGATTTGGGATTGAAAAATAAACCGGTGGCTTGGGACACCAGAAAACGAACCATCCCAAGTGGTGACTCTGAATTTATTGAATAAATAATCCCATTTCGAATACTTAAAGTGGAAAAACTCCCTTGTGCTACCTTCGGGTAGTGTAAAAAGGAGGTGTGACAGCTTTGGTGACTCTATTGGGGACTCGAACCCAGAATCTCTGGTTCAGGGTTCAAGAATTCGAGCTTAGAATAGTTGTTATGATTGGCTTTATCTGTTATCTAATTTTTCTACATGTTTGAGCCTAATGTGCTAAATGCTTTATCGTTTTTGATATTTTGTGAACTGTATATAAACTATTACAAAACCTTTCCTCTCTCTAAGTCTTCTAAATCATGGAGAAAGGTGCACTTCGTGTGGNATTTATTTGCTTCGAATTTGCATGTTGACCGGCTTATGAATAATAGGAGAAAAGTTGGAAAAAAAAATCAATGTTAGGGCTCGGAAAGGTAATTACTTGATTTGAAAATCAGTGTCCAAAAATATGCTGAAACTCTGCCAAAATTTTGACAAAAATTTTCTATTTAAATATAGTTGGTTTATTTTCGTCCAATCTGCTCGAACTACGCCAGTTTGATTCTCACCGGATGTGGGATACGTAGGCAACCCTCATCGGGTCCAACTTCTTTTTTTGCAAAAATAGCCCAAAAACAACAAAATTTTATTTTTGTCACAATAAGCAGGGTGATGCCGTTCTTGCTTAAAATAAGCCGAATGTCCTCAAAAATAGCGCCGGAAGGCTGCTTTTGCAAGAGTAGCCCCTTTTGATCATTTTTGTACGGTTAGCAGGCACAACCTT